GTGAGCTGGGGGAGGAGCTGGAGCGGGGCGGGGGCCGCCGGAGGGGCTGGGATGGGGTGAGGGCGGGGCATGGATCTGGGGGAGGCGCCTGGTGGGGCCTAGGCGGAGCGTGGACCGGGTGGTGGGGGAGGCAAGTGAGGTGGAGGGGTGGTCTGAGTGCAGGGCGGAGGCCGCTGTGTGGGGGCCGGCTGTTCTGAAGGCTTCTTGGGCTGAGCATGGTGTCCACACTTCCCTCACAGTTGAAGTCGTCAGCTCCTCGCTTCCTGACTTGTATGTGGAGAAGGTGCTGGAATTTTTAGCTTCGTCCTTGGAGGTGTCCCGCCACCTGGAGTTCTATCTCGTATGGACCCAGAAGCTGCTTATGGCGCACGGACAGAAGCTGAAGTCCAGGTAGACGGGTGCCCCTGCCCTCCGCCTGCGGTTCGGTCACTCCTTCCGCGGGGTCTGCAGCTGCGCGGCCCCAGCGGAGGTTTCTGCGCACAAGCACCGGGTGCTCCGAAGTCCGGTACCGCACTGAGGGAAGTCTCCTTTCCAGGGCGGGGAAGCTGTTGCCGGCCGTTCAGTTCCTTCAGAAGAGCATCCAGCGCCACTGGGAGGACATCTCCAAACTGTACGTGTTGCCGGAGTGGTTGGTGGGCCGGGCAGGGCTTGGACTGTCGCCAGCTGGTTCCCGCTGGTTCCACGCGGGGGCTGCTCCCCGCGTTGTCTGATTTGGGGACAGAAAATCCTGGTGGTGGATGTGCTTGTTCCCATGCCGCTGGCAAACTAAACGCGCTGGGCTGTCCTGCGGTGGGCTCCGGGAGAGCGCTCCCAGGGAGGCAAGAGGCCCTGCCGCTTGGATGAGCAGGGAGGGTCCAAAGCCTCCCTCCTCCTGTTCAGGTGGCATCGCCCTGGCCCTCGCACTTCCTGCCCCTCCCCCGGGCCCGGAGGATCTGCGCTCGGCCTCTTCTGGGGGTCTCCCCTCCAGCTGGGGTCAGGTGTGCAGGGGGGGGGGCGGCTCCGACGTGCTGTTTCCAGGCTTGGTGCTCAGGTTGTCCCTACTCTGCCCTGAAGGTCTGCTTTGTGCCTGCCCGTGTGGCTCAGGTCCCCCGGTCCTCCTGTCTGTCCCGAGCACTTTCTTGGTCTTCACGTGTCTCCAACAAACCATTGTTCTTGGAGGCTCTTTCTGAGCTCCAGGCTGCCCGCAGGGTGGCTGGAGGCTCCTCTGGGGAGCGGTCTTCCCTGTGCTGCGGTTCCATCGGGCTCCCACCAAGAAGCGGTGTTAGATCTGTTCCATGTCACTGGGTGTCGACGTGGACGCGACATGCTTGGACGCAGAGTCAGCCCAGCCGGCTTCCGTGCTGCCTGCGCTACGGGACCTGGTGCTGTTTCCCATCTCTGCGGCCCGCACGGGCTGGCCGGGTGCCGTCTGCTCTGCTCTGCGCTGACGGACCCTCGTACTGTCAGGCCGTCCCCCAAGGGCTTCTACATTGAGATGCAATAGGGATTTTTCTCTGTTGGTGTGTGGGGCTCATGTGTTAAATGTGCTCCCATTCCTCGAGACAGCCCCTTTCTTGGGTGTCCGGAGGGACTGACTGGGGGCCGAGTGGTGTCCAGAGAAGGCGGCGTTGGGGGATGTTCGGATGGGGGCCCGTGGCGGGTGTTTCTGGGCTCTGGAGCAGGTGGTCGAGTGCTGCATGAGCGGGGCTCTCGATGGGGTGGGAGACGCTCTTCGGCCTTGCTGACGGCCTCCTGTGTGCCTTCGCAGCTGTGACTGGAACCGCTACAACATCCAGTACGCCCTGGCAATTTCCAAGCAGCGGGGTGTGAAGCGCCCCTCGGACCCGCCGGGAAGTGAGGAGGAAGCAGGTCCGTCCGATGACGACGAGGACAGTCTGCACCTCCTCCGGGGGCACCCCGGGGAGGTGGACACGGATGGGCCGCTGCCCTAGAGCCGCCCTGCTGCAGGCCCGCTGGCCGTGCTTGAGACGCCGGGGGAGGTGGACGCCGCTGGAGGTTGGGGCTCTGTCCCCGAGGCTGGCGCTTCTGTGCGAAGCTGTCGCGGCCGCAGGGTCAGTGAGCTCACGGCCCAGAGCTGGCACGTGAGCGAAAGTGGACGTGGAGCCTCTGCTGCTGAAAACTGAGAGGCGAGTGGGATCATGTGTGTGGACTCAGACTTTGTATGAGAAATTTTACATTTTTAATACGAAGTTTTGACAATAAACTTAGGGATGAAAATGTATTTTTCTAAAAAGTAGCTATGGGTTAAGTCTGGCCTCTGAATTTGAAACATTGGTGCTGTACCCTGAACGTGACTGTCCTGGGGAGAGCAGGGCCACCTGCCTGCTGGCACCTCCTGTCCCCTTGCTCGGCTGCCCTGTAGTAGAGCCTTTTTGCAGCAGACTAGTACCTCGGTAGCTGGTCTTTCTGTTGTGCGTGCGCAAGCAGCCCACTTGCTTGGTACAAATTTTGGTGGCCCAGATGGAATCCAAGTCCTGGCTGGACGACAGCTCGTGGCTTGCTGGCACTGCGTTGGGAATGGGGCCTGGATGACCCACCTCAGCAGCTGCCTAGGTGGCTTTGCCTGGACAACTTGTCCTCGACAGCTCCATCCAGCACAGTGGCAGCCACCTTGGGCGCGTTGCAGGTCCACTTTTGCAGAAAGAGGCTGTGGAACAAGAAGTCTTCTGGGTGAAGGTCTAGGTGCCTGGGTCCAAAAGCTGTTTTCTCTCCCTGGTATTGACCCTCGTTCAGAGGTCCTGGTAACCTGAACGTGGTCTAGATTCTCTTGGGAACTCAGAGCTGAAGTTTGTCTTTGGTGTGATTCAGAGCCAGAAGTTTGTCTGGATCGAGGCCTGTGAATGTGTGTGGCTGAGTGGTACGTATTACTGTCTCTTACTGTTGTTAGTTTAAACTGAACTGGCTATGTGGGGACTGACCACAGCAAACTGCCCCCAGGAGTAACCTGATGAGTCTTCTGAGTCCAAAGAAAAGTGCCACTGTTCCTCCAGGCCTTTGCGACGTTCCCAGGTGACTGGGGAACTTGCTCAGGGGTCGGGGCTTCTGCCTGTGACCTGCCTGCATTGTTGGTGGGGAAGCAGCTGGCCCTGGCAGCCCTGCTGGGGGTTACACACCCGAGCCTTGCCGGCACCAGTAGGGAGTAGTTGCTGCAAATACCACCCGGTCCGAGCTGACCCAGCGCCCCTTAAAAAAAACGATCGCTGCAGCCACTGGGGGAGAGCCCCAAAATGGGAACTGCAAATGGTGTACCAGCCTGCAGCCCAGTGGGATGCAGTCTCCAAAATCGGGGCACTTTTATTTTGAGCTTCTGAAAAAGGTGACTATATATGTATTTTAATACTACCTGGCCCCAATATCAATTGGAGTTAGGGGAGAAATAGCCCAAAAATGGGTTCTCAGAGGGTCATACCTTTATTGTACCCGGGTTTACTAGGAGTCAAATGGGATCTTGTTTCTGTTACAAAAATTTGTCAGCAAGAAAATGACATAATATGATGAAACATTAGTCAGTGAATTCAATGTAAATGAAAGTTTTCAGGTGGACTCTGTAGGAATAATTTTGTTTCAGGTACGCCTGTCTAAAAATAGTTTCTCCAGATTTTGGTAATTTGAAATTTGGTTTTGCGAAGTTAAGTTGAATGAAGGAAATTTATACAATGTCCGGATCATTTCCAGGTAGGATCAGATACTGAAACACTAAAAACAAGTCCAAGTTCACCTGCTTTTGTCCTCTTACTAGAGAAAAACTAAAGATGTTTTGGCTTTTCGGACACACACCCCCGCTGAGGACGAAGCTGCTGTGAGAAGATGTGCATTGCCAGCGGTTACAGGCGATGCTCGCCGGCTGGCCGGTCGGGAAGCGCGGGTCCGGCCGCCTGCTCACGGTTGTCTCCTTCGTGGTTTCCGCAGGAGATAAAGGTTGTTAAGGCTTAAAAATTGCAACATACGTAATTAAAGCTTCTAGAAATAACAAAGGAAACATTTCAGTATGCAAGGCAGGGAGCATGTGTGTGTTTTCAGTAAAAGGAGGTATGAGATGTAGAAATACAGTTCATTAAGGGGAAAGAAGGTAATTTTGCCTTAAAGCTGGTTATTCCCCAAAGGGGGAGAAAATAAGAGACAAACTTAATACGGACATGGAAGGTTGTGGAGGGTTCGTGGGAAGGGAGCCCTGGGAGAGGAGCTTTGCGCTTGGTCAGGACTGGCTGTGGCTAGATTGAATTAAAGTAAATGAGTTTTATTAAAAGTGAGCAGGTGCAAAACTGGAATTTGGTATTCTCTCTCTGTTAGGAGAACAAGGTTTCCTTGGAATATTGATGGCTGTTGGTGAGATTGTAAAGGTTTCTTTCCCTGTTAAGTAAGGTGGTGTAACTTTCTGTACTTGCCTTTGAAACCTTTTGTTGTCACTTGGTTAAATGAGTGAGTATCATTTCCCCATGACCTACGATCCTGTTCAGCCAGGTGTTTTAAAACCTTTTTGATATTTTTGACAAACTTCCCAAAGATCAAATTCCAGCTGAAATTCATCTGACCTATAGCTAACTGAGGTTTTCCAGTGACCCCCGGAACACCTCAAGAAAATTATTTTCTCTTTATGAGAGATATTAAACTAATTAGATTGACTTGTGCATTCAGTTGCATGGGAAGCATTGTCAAACGAGTGGGGATAAACCTTCTTAGGTTGTATTATGTGAGTAAATGTCATTAATACAAATGTTCTAGAAACTACGTGGAATTTCTAAAATTTGAACATGCTTTGGTATAACATCAGTCATCATTCTAGTCATTATGTTAAAATGTCTGTCACAGCAGCGACCATACTCCTTTGTCAGTTGCATCAGATGTCGGGTATCTTTAACCGTGTCTGTGTCAGTCTCTTGTCCCTTATAGACAGTTACCGTTTTACTCTGATGCTTTTGTAAAAATGCTGTATCTTCAAGAAGATTCACAGAAAGGACTTTGACAAGTACAGGCTTCTGGTAACGTTCAGGCCGTACCACTGAACTGGGTAAGAAATTGAATAATTCTAATGGAAACCCTGAGGGCTTCACCAAACTGTTAACAAAAGATCGAGATCAAGGATTAGTTGCACAGGACTGAGTGAACTGACGAATATGGCTATAGTGTTTGGGGGTTTTTTTGTCTGAAATATTACTGGCTTTCAATCCGTGTTTTCCAACTATAAGGAAACCTTTCCCTTTAAGCTAATTATGACTTACAGCAACTTGGTAAATTATACCTTTGTAAGTGGAATTGAAACATTTTATCTTTTCTGTCTACCTGAAGCCTCCAGAAATTGGAAATTCATATGTTCCTAGCAGCCTTATCAGGTAAATAAAGAAGGCCACCTCCAGACAGGTGCAGGAATCTCCAGACACCTGGGGGACCTTGAGAAGAGAGCAATTCACCAGATCTACAGATATTGCAGGCAGAATCTGATGAAAAGCCCTTGGTATGGCTTTCCTGGCCTTGAGAGGCCTTTGAAAAGTTCAATCTGAGATTCCTTATGAAGAGTTCCAGGAAAGCCAATTTAAAAGAACCTATATGCTCACTTACACTTATATAATTAGGCCAAGGTTTTTGAAGCCAGACTTACTTTGCAAACTAATTAGTCTTAATTTGGCTATGTTTCATAGAAATGAGGATAATTTTAGAAACAGATTATATACCTTAAAGAAGACTTTGGCAAAGATTTGCCAAGAAACTAACCTGACCTGGGACAAGACCTTGCCCATTGTCCC